TTCTATTTCCAAACTAGGCATCAAGAGTCATTAATTCTGGTATTGCAAGAAAACTCTGAGAGCTCTTTAAGTACAAGCCTCGGAGCCATGCCATATTAACTGAAATTTCTCTGGATGTGACCATTGTTTTGGCATTTCAGGATCATGGTTATATGTACAATTTATTCTACTTAGGTTTTAGATTTGCTTGTTGCTGGTGTCGTCAGAGAACACAGGCAGATCAGTATCTTGTACTCAGTGCCCTCACTTGCACAATGATATGCTCTCAAGTGTTTTTGCACTCTTTTCAGACTTTTTTTCCATAGCCAATGGGCAAAAAACACATTAGGTTATTGCATTTTAAAAGATTTCTGCAAAAATGGATGGCATTAAAGGTTTATTAACCCACACAAAGAATGGAAGGCATTTAAGTCAAATTCCTGCGATTATAATCATAAATGGTAAAATGAAGATTTTTCTTTCCTCCTAGAAAGTAAAGATCAGTCATGACCTTAAGCTAGATTGGGTCTCAATTTCATGGAGGTTATAACAGGTTGCAGCAAATGGTTTCTTCCAACAATTTTGCAATGGAAGCTTTCCACATATATGCATTGTTTATCCATACCTCTCTCAATCACTTCCAAATGGGCTTCTTGCCTTTGGTAACACAGTGACTACTAATTATAGCATTTTGTAATTATGGGGAAGAACTAATGAAAATTCCCAAGTCTTATTCGTCAGTAAGAAGCATTAAAGGGCTAAAGCATAAAGTTTGAATGGTGTTGAATTATGTGTCAGGAACTATTCCAAGTGTTTTTGAGTACAGTAACTCAGGTTTTAAAAATCCTTTAAAAAGGCAGGCTGGGGATGTGGCTCAAGCAGTAACGTGCTCACCTGGCATGCGCAGGGCGCTAGGTTCAATCCTCAGCACCACATAAAAATAAAGACGTTATGTCCACTGAAACCTGAAAAATAAATATTAAAAAATTCTCTCTCTTCCCTCTCTCTAAAAAAAATCCTTTAAAAAGAGCATTATCCGCTTCATTTTATACATGAAGAATCTGGGGCACAGAGAACACATTTACTTCCCCAAATTCACATGTCCAGTGACTCAGATCAGAACACATTTTCTGTAAAGGGCCAAGTAGTGAATATTTTAGTCTTTGAGCCACACAATCTCTGCCACTCTGGCCTTGTGGAATAATAGCAGCAATAAAAAGTACAGAAATGGATGAGCATACCTGTGTTTCAACCAAACCTTATTTCTAGACAATGAAATTTAAATTTCATATAATTTTCACATGCCAAAAAATATTCTCCCTTTTGATTATTTTTCAACCATTCACAAATATAAAACCTATTCCTAGTTCTCAAGCCATATAAACAGCCAAAAGCTTGAGTTTTGCCTTAAGCTGTAGTTTGACATAATTAAGAGGAAGAGCCAGGATTTGAACCCAGAAGCAAGCCCTTAACTTTATATATAGTCTTTATCATGATACTAAAAGTAAGTGAGGTCCTTTATAAAACATACAGCTGAATAGGAAGGGGAAAATAACAACCACCAATAAAAACCACAACTCAAAAGTAACCACTAGCAATGGTTGGTATTTTCTCTCATTCTTTTATCCACTATTTTGCAGTATTAAATTTTATCATTCTGCTTTTTTTAAAGTTTTTTAGCTGTAGTTGGACACAATACCTTTATTTTACTTATTTTGTGTGATGCTGAGGATGGAACCCAGTGCCTTGTATGTGCTAGGCAAGCCTTTGCCGCTGAGCCCCAACCCCAACCCCTAATTTTTATTTTCATGCTTCCACAGAAGCCACACAATTATAATAGTTTGATACATAGTCGTTCAATTTAAAAAAGCTAAAGGGAAATCCTTATTTTGAAAGAATTTTACAGCTCATGTTTTCATAAACCACTTTTTATTAAGTGACCACTTGGTCACCTTTCACTTATCTGCCATTTCTGTTAAGTTGGAGGATTTTTTTAAAACAACTCAGCCTGAAGTAGGGATGTAGTGAAATGGCTTTCTAATGACCATTGTTCCTTTATTACCTACATGACTCTAAACAAAAGGCTAATTTTCCCCACCTCCATTTTGCTATAGGGAGAAACCAGGCACGGCACTGAAGATAGCAGGAAACAGTTTTATTTGGCTGCAGCCAGGTTCAGAGGGTACAGCCTTTGCTGTAATCAATCAATCCCCTGAACCCCGAGTTCAGGGAGTTTCAGAGTTTTATACTCAGCATGTAAGGGGTGGGGCTCAGAAGTTCATAGTCTGCAGAAGTTCACA